GAGCTCTGGCGTAGGCTGGTCCATGAGGTCACGAAGAGTCGGAGACGACTGAACGAATGAACAACAATGAACACATTTGGAGTTTGGGGAAAATAGACCTTGGCATTTGGGAGCTGTAGTTATAGTTCACCTCCAATCAAAGACCATTCTGAATGAACCCCACGAATGACAGAATTGGGGCAAACTTCCCCCACAGAACCCCCATGACCAACAGAAAACACTTAAGGCCATCCAATCTAACTCCCTTCACCAGGGCAAGAAAACGTAATCAAAGCCTTCCTTTGACAGAGAGCCATCCAGCCATAGATATAGATCTATATGATTCACACACACAGAGATAAAGTATTATAAATTTGAAAGGGACCCCTGAAGAAGGGCAATGATATGTTGCATGTTCCAGAGTAGGCAAACCAGACACTCTCCACATCAACACTGACAAAGAAACAGCAAGAAATGCTGTTTACCCACAAGCAGAAAGAAATTACATATATTAGAAACCAATACTTTCTAATTACTTTATTTTCCAGATCACCAGACTGGGCCACAGCAACGCGTGGCAGGGGACCGCTAGTACATCAATAAAAAGCAACAACAACAATACAAACAACAAATAAACTCATAAACAAAGTAATAAACAGTAACAATAACACCACTACGCATTAAAAACCTATGGCAGGGCCAAATGTAATAATGATTTTTTTAAAAAAAATGCTGGGCATGACAAGGTGACATGTAACTAGGATAGGTATTTAGAGAGAGATGGAGCGAGCAGACAATCCTAGATCATTAGTAAAGTGCGATTAAGGACATGTTGCTTAGGGTCCTCTTAAAGACTGCCAGAGTTGAGGCATGCCTGATGTCCTTGGGGAGCGAGTTTATGACATTTATATGCCACCCTTCTCATCCCGAACGGGACGCAGAGCACCATATTTTATTTTATTTTTCTGGTTATTTAATCTTTAATGTTTATTTTACTTAAGTGCTATTTGTCTTTACTGTTCTAATGTAACACAAATCCTATGTAAAATCATACTTCGTTTTTTTGCCATTAATATTGAAATCTGAAATATACACAGAAAGATTATGTATAGATTATGTTATTAGCATAGTACAATATCAGTATTAAATATTACTATATTGTACTATACTATTATATTGTAATATTATTAGTAATATTACATGCAATATAAAAATATAATATAATGTAATGTAATGTAATGTAATGTAATGTAATGTAATATATAATGGCATCCTTAAAGTGACTGGATTGACCTTGACGGAGCTGGGGGTGGTGACGGCCGACAGGGAGCTCTGGCGTGGGCTGGTCCATGAGGTCACGAAGAGTCGGAAACAACTCAACGAATGAATAATAACAAATATCATATTATTAGTAGTATTGTATTGCATTTCATTAAAATATTATAAATATTTTATGTGTGTGTGTGTGTGTGTATATATATATATATATATATATATATATATATATATTACATTATATTATATTATTAGCATAGCACAGGAGACAAGGTGGAACTGTCCCCTGCCCCCCCCTTCACTCTGGCCCAGAGCGGCAGGTGGTGCTGGGGGGAGGGGTCCCCACCTGTCTATCACTGGATTATTTCCTCTCTGAGGCCCCTTCGCTAGGAGCCCTCGGTGGCGCGGTGGGTTAAACCACTGAGCTGCTGAATTTGTTGATCGAAAGGTTGCATGTTCGAATGTGAGGAGCGGGGAGAGCTCCCGCTATTAGCCGCAGCTTCTGCCAACCGAACAGTTCAAAAAACATGCAAATTTGAGTAGATCAATAGGTACCGCTCCAGCGGGAAGGTAACAGCGCTCCATGCAGTCATGCCGACCACATGACCTTGGAGGTGTCTATGTACAACGCTGGCTCTTCAGCTTAGAAATGGAAATGCGCACCACCCCCCAGAGTCGGACACAACTGGACTTAATGTCAGGGGCAAACCTTTACCTACCCTATCAACAAGTCTTACATCTAAAAATATCTCATACGCAGCATGTATTTTCATTCACTGGACCAAATTTGGCACAAATACCTGTATGCCCAAATTTGAATCCTGGTGGGGTTGAGGGGGGTTGATTTTGTCATGTGAGAGTTGTTGCTGCTGGGATTTATGGTTCCCCTACAATCAAAGAGCATTCTGAACTCCACCAATGATGACATTGAACCAAATTTGGCACACAGAACTCCCATGACCAACAGAAATTACTGGAAGGGTTTGATCTGCATTGACCTTGAGTTTTGGAGTTGCGGTTCACCTTCATCCAGAGAGCACTGTGGATTCAAACAATGATGGATCATGGCACAAATACTCCATATGCCCAAATGCGAACACTGGCGGAGTTTGGGGAAAATAGACTTGATATCTGGGAGTTGTAGTTGCTGGGATTTATAGTTCACCTACAATCAAAGACCATTGTGAACTCCACCAACGATGGAATTGAAGCAAAGTTGGCACACAGAACTCCCATGACCAACAGAAAATACTGGAAGGGTTTGGACGGCATTGACTTTGAATTCGGAGTTGTAGTTCACCTACATTCAGAGAGCACTGTGGACTCAAACAATGATGAATCTGTACCAAACTTAGCACGGATATTCAATATGCCCAAATGTGAACACTGGTGGAGTTTGGAAAAAACAGACCTTGATATTTGGTAGTTGTAGTTGCTGGGATTTATAGTTCACCTACAATCAAAGGGCATTCTGAACTCCACCAATGATAGAATTGGGAACTTCCCACATAGAAAATAGACCTTGATATTTGGGAATTGTAGTTGCTGGGATTTATAGTTCATCTACAATCAAAGGGCATTCTGAACTCCACCAATGAAAGAATTAGGAACTTCCCACACAGAGACCCCCCATGAGCAACAGAAAATATTGTGTTTTCTGATAATATTGTCAAAGGCTTTCATGGCCGGAATCACTGGGTTGTTGTAGGTTTTTTCGGGCTATATGGCCATGTTCTAGAGGCATCTATGGCAAGCATTCCCAGAGGTAGCGAGGTCTGTTGGAACTAGGAAAATGGGTTTATATATCTGTGGAAAGACCAGCGTGGGACAAAGGACTCTTGTCTGCTGGGGCTAGGTGTGAATGTTTCAATTGACCACTTTGATTAGCATACAATGGCCTGACTGTACCTTTGTTGAGAGGTAATTAGATGTCCCTGCCTGCTTCCTCTCTGTTGTTGTGCTGTTGCAATTTTAGAGAAGCCTACACAGAGAAGCCATTGAAATATACAATAGGCCTGTGCGGTTTCGTTCGTTAATTCGTTAATTCGTTAAACATTCGTTAATTTTTGCATATACGAAACGATAACAAAACATATTTTCAAACCCAGAAGGGTTTTTAAAAATCGAAACGGCAGGCGCCAAAAATTTTGTATTTCCGTCCATTTCGGAAATACGTAAGATGGCCGCCTGGCTTGCTGGGAGCTCTCCTCTCTCCGCGCCGGCTGAGCAAGTGAGCGAGAGGGCGAGCGAGAGGGCGAGGGCGAGCGGCGAGCGAGAGGGCGAGCGGCGAGCGAGAGGGCGAGTGAGAGGGCGAGCGGCGAGCGAGGGGGCGAGCGGCGAGCGAGAGGGCGAGCGAGAGGGCGAGCGGCGAGCGAGAGGGCGAGCGGCGAGCGAGAGGGCGAGTGAGAGGGCGAGAGGGCGAGCGGCGAGCGAGAGGGCGAGTGAGAGGGCGAGCGGCGAGCGAGAGGGCGAGTGAGAGGGCGAGCGGCGAGCGAGAGGGCGAGCGGCGAGCGAGAGGGCGAGTGAGAGGGCGAGCGGCGAGCGAGAGGGCGAGCGGCGAGTGAGAGGGCGAGCGGCGAGCGAGAGGGCGAGTGAGAGGGCGAGCGGCGAGCGAGAGGGCGAGCGGCGAGCGAGAGGGCGAGCGGCGAGCGAGAGGGCGAGTGAGAGGGCGAGCGGCGAGCGAGAGGGCGAGCGGCGAGCGAGAGGGCGAGCGGCGAGCGAGAGGGCCCGCCAGAGTGAGTGCCTGCCTTCCCTTAATTTCTCCTCCCTATTCTACTAAATTATTTAATAATTAAATTTAAAAAATATTTAAAAAATATTGAAAAAAAAAGGCCCCATCTTTACAAAATGTTTTGTTAATATTTACGAAATTTCGTAAATACCGAAACTTTTTTTTGGAAAGTTTTGTAATTATTTTAAATATCGAAACAAAAAAACACCCCAATTACAAATCGATTTTAGAAACAAATTTTTTCTTGATCAAACAGGCCTAATCTACACTGTAGTTTTTTTCGGGCTATATGGCCATGTTCTAGAGGCATTTTCTCCTGACGTTTCTCCTGCATCTATGGCAAGCATCCTCAGAGGTAGTGAGGTCTGTTGGAATTAGGAAATTTGGGTTTATATATCTGTGGAATGACCAGGGTGGGACAAAGGACTCTTGTCTGCTGGAGCTAGGTGTGAATGTTTCAACTGATCACCTTGATTAGCATTTGATTGCCTGGCAGTGCCTGGGGGAATCTTTTGTTGAGAGGTGATTAGATGTCCTTGTTTGCTTCCTCTCTGTTGCTGCGCTGATAGTCTGATAGTCTTTGGCGACCCCTCTGACACCCCCCCCCCCCACCCCACTCCTAGGGTCCCGACGCCAAATTGAGAAAGGCTGCATTAGGAAATGAGATTGACAACGCAGGGAAATGATATTGAAAACTCGCGTGGCATAGTGGAAGGACAGGCTGGCACTGGGGAGGAGGTCTGTCATTCACACAAGGGAAGAATTGGAAAGCAAACTAGGCAAGGTTCGGGACTTGGAAGCTGTGGAGCTGTGTCTCCCTTTCAGGCCGTGTTTCTCCCACGGGTGGGAGACCTTGGATTGGAGCCTTTCCCAAGGCAAGGAGGAGGCAGAAGCAGGAGAGCCGGCGGCAGCCCATTGGGAGGCTTGTCCTCTCTCCAAAGGAGGGAGGGCAAGGGGAGTTTCGGAGGCTGGACCCACTCCACGCCCCACCAGGAGCCTCACTCCTTTCCTGGGCGATTCCGCGCGAGGAGGCGAGATGGAGCCGCTCTGAAGGCGCCTCGGGATCCGACCCGCGATGGGCGCCGAGATGAACGCCTCCTCCTCCTCTTCTTCTTCTGACCTCTCCTCCTCCTCCATGGGCCCCCCCACGGGCGAGGGGTGCCTGGGGCCCTGCCCTCCCCCCGGGGGCCTCTCGGCGCCTCTCTCGGTCTTCCTGGCCGCCCTCATGGCGCTCCTGGTCCTGGCCACCGTCTGCGGCAACGCGCTGGTCGTGGTGGCTTTCGCCCTGGACCGCAGCCTCCGCACCCAGGGCAACTTCTTCTTCCTCAACCTCGCCATCGCAGACCTCCTCGTGGGTGAGCCCGGACTGGGGGACAGTGGGATGGAGCGGGGAGGGGTCGGGGAGGGAGAGAAAAGGGACCACACTGCCCATCCGAAGGCAAGCCGGACTCCCGACAATAAGGAAAAGGACTGATTGGGAGAAGACCTCTAGGACTTGTAGTCCTCTCTGGTTCCCAAAAAGAGAAGGAGACCTCTAGGACTTGTAGTCCCTTTGGGTTCCCAAAAGAAGGAGAAGACCTCTAGGACTTGTAGTCCTCTCTGGTTCCCAAAAGGAGGAGGAGACCTGTAGGACTTGTAGTTCCTTGGGTTCCAGAAGAAGGAGAAGACCTATAGTCCCCTTCCAAAGAAGCCTTGGGTTCCCAACAATAGGAAGGGTGCATTCCAACCTCATGAGTCTGTGGTTCTATAACTTGTGGTGCCCTTAGAAAATGCTCATTGGGTTTGGGAGGACGTGTAGTTCTCTTGCGTTCCCAAAAAGAGGAGAAGATCTGTAGGACTTGTAGTCCCCTTGGGTTCCAGGAGAAGGAGAAGACCTCTAGGACTTATACTCCCCTTGGGTTCTTAAAAGGAGGAGGAGACCTCTAGGACTTGTAGTCCCCTTGGGTTCCCAAACGGAAGAGAAGACCTGTAGGACTTGTAGTCCCCTTGGGTTCCAGAAGAAGGAGAAAACCTATAGTCCCCTTCCAAAGGAGCCTTGGGTTCCCAACAATAGGAAAGGGACATTCCAACCTCATGAGTCTGTGGTTCTATGACTTGTGGTGCCCTTAGAAAATGCTCATTGTGTTTGGGAGGAGAAGAAATAGACTTCTAGACCCTTTGGGTTTCCAAAAGGAGAAGATCTGTAGGATTTGTAGTCCCTTTGGGTTTCCAAATGGAAGAGAAGACCTGTAGGACTTGTAGTCCCCTTGGGTTAGACCTGTAGGAAGGGTACATTCCAACCTCATGAGTCTGTGGTTCTATGACTTGTGGTGCCCTGAGAAAATGCTCATTGGGTTTGGGAGGAGAAGAAATGGACTTCTATTCCCCTTGGGTTCCCAAAAGAAGGGGAAGACCTGTAGGATTTGTAGTCCCCTTCGGTTTCCAAACGGAAGAGAAGACCTGTAGGACTTGTAGTCCCCTTGGGTTCCAGAAGAAGGAGAAGACCTCTAGGACTTGTAGTCCCCTTGGGTTCCCAAACGGAAGAGAAGACCTGTAGGACTTGTAGTCCCCTAGGAGTAGACCTGTAGGACTTGTAGTCCCCTTGGGTTCCAGAAGAAGGAGAAGACTTCTAGGACTTGTAGTCCCCTTGGGTTCCCAAAAGGAGGAGGAGACCTATAGTCCCCTTCCAAAGGAGCCTTGGGTTCCTGACAATAGGAAGGGGGCATTCCAACCTCATGAGTCTGTGGTTCTATGACTTGTGGTGCCCTTAGAAAATGCTCATTGGGTTTGGGAGGAGAAGAAATGGACTTGAAGTCCCTTTGGGTCCCCAAAAGGAGAAGATCTGTAGGACTTGTAGCCCCCTTGGTTTCTTGTAGTCCCTTGGTTTCCCAGAAGAAGGAGAAGACCTGTAGGACTTGTAGTCCCCTCTGGTTCCCAAAAGGAGGGGAAGACCTGTAGGATTTGTAGTCCCCTCTGGTTCCCAAAAGGAGGGGAAGACCTGTAGGACGTGTAGTCCTCTTGGGTTCCTAAAAGAAGGTGAAGACCTGTAGGGCTTGTAGTCCTCTTGGGCTCCAGAAGAAGGAGAAGACCTCTAGGACTTGTAGTCCCCTTGGGTTCCCAAACGGAAGAGAAGACCTGTAGGACCTGTAGTCCCCTTGGGTTAGACCTGTAGGACTTGTAGTCCCCTTGGGTTCCAGAAGAAGGAGAAGACCTCTAGGACTTGTAGTCCCCTTGGGTTCCCAAACGGAAGAGAAGACCTGTAGGACTTGTAGTCCCCTAGGATTAGACCTGTAGGACTTGTAGTCCCCTTGGGTTCCAGAAGAAGGAGAAGACTTCTAGGACTTGTAGTCCCCTTGGGTTCCCAAAAGGAGGAGGAGACCTATAGTCCCCTTCCAAAGGAGCCTTGGGTTCCTGACAATAGGAAGGGGGCATTCCAACCTCATGAGTCTGTGGTTCTATGACTTGTGGTGCCCTTAGAAAATGCTCATTGGGTTTGGGAGGAGAAGAAATGGACTTGTAGTCCCCTCTGGTTCCCAAAAGGAGGGGAAGACCTGTAGGACGTGTAGTCCTCTTAGGTTCCTAAAAGAAGGTGAAGACCTGTAAGGCTTGTAGTCCTCTTGGGCTCCCAAAAGGAGGAGAGGACCTGTAGGATTTGTAGTCCTCTTGGGTTCCCAAAAGGAGGGGAAGACCTCTAGGACTTGTAGTCCCCTTGGGTTCTTAAAAGGAGGGGAAGACCTGTAGGATTTGTTGTTATCTTGGGTTCCCAAAAGGAGGGGAAGACCTGTAGGACTTGTAGTTCTCTTGGGTTCCCAAAAGGAGGGGAAGACCTGTAGGATTTGTTGTCCTCTTGGGTTCCCAAAAGGAGCGGAAGACATGTAGGATTTGTAGTCCTCTTGGGTTCCCAAAAGGAGGAGAAGACCTCTAGCACTTGTAGCCCTCTTGGGTTTCCAAAAGGAGGGGAAGACCTGTAGGATTTGTAGTCCTCTTGGGTTCCCAAAAGGAGGGGAAGACCTCTAGGACTTGTAGTCCCCTTGGGTTCCCAAAAGGAGGAGAAGACCTGTAGGACTTGTAGTCCCCTTGGGTTCCCAAAAGGAGGAGAAGACCTCTAGGACTTGCAGTTCTCTTGGGTTCCCAAAAGGAGGGGAAGACCTGTAGGATTTGTTGTCCTCTTGGGTTCCCAAAAGGAGCGGAAGACATGTACGATTTGTAGTCCTCTTGGGTTTCCAAAAGGAGGAGAAGACCTCTAGCACTTGTAGCCCTCTTGGGTTTCCAAAAGGAGAGGAAGACCTGTAGGATTTGTAGTCCTCTTGGATTCCCAAAAGGAGGGGAAACCTGTAGGATTTGTAGTCCTCTTGGGTTCCCAAAAGGAGGGGAAGACCTGTAGGATTTGTAGTCCTCTTGGGTTCCCAAAAGGAGGAGAAGACCTCTAGGACTTGTAGCCCTCTTGGGTTTCCAAAAGGAGGAGAAGACCTGTAGGACTTGTAGTCCTCTTGGGTTCCCAAAAGGAGGAGAAGACCTCTAGGACTTGTAGTCCTCTTGGGTTCCCAAAAGGAGCAGAAGATCTGTAGAACTTGTAGTCCTCTTGGGTTCCCAAAAGGAGGGGAAGACCTGTAGGACTTGTAGTCCTCTTGCGTTCTCAAAAGGAGGGGAAGACCTGTAGGACTTGTAGTCCCCTTGGGTTCCCAAAAAAGAGGAGGTGATCTCTAGTGCCTTCCAAAGGAGCCTTGGGTTCCCGACAATAAGAAAAGGACATTCCAACCTCATGACTCTGTGGTTCTATGACTTGTGGTGCCCTTAGAAAATGCTCATTGGGTTTGGGAGGAGAAAAAATTGTCTTCTAGTCCCCTTTGGTTCCCAAAAGAAGGAGAAGACCTCTAGGACTTGTAGTCCTCTCTGGTTCCCAAAAGGAGGAGGAGACCTGTAGGACTTGTAGTCCCCTTGGCTTCCCAAAAGAAGGAGAAGACCTATAGTCCCCTTCCAAAGGAGCCTTGGGTTCCTGACAATAGGAAGGGGACATTCCAACCCCATGACTCTGTGGTTCTATGACTTGTGGTGCCCTTAGAAAATGCTCATTGGGTTTGGGAGGAGAAGAAATGGACTTCTAGTCCCCTTGGGTTCCCAAAAAGAGGAGAAGACTAAGGAGGTGTCAGAGGGGTTGCCAAAGACCATCAGAAAACACAGTATTTCCTGTTGGTCATGGGGATTCTGTGTGGGAATTTTGGCCTAATTCTATCATTGGTGGGGTTCAGAATGCTTTTTGATTGTATGTGAACTGTAAATCCCAGCAATTACAACTCCCAAATGTCAAGGTCTGTTTTCCCCAAACTCCACCAGTGTTCACATTTGGGCATATTGAATATGTGTTACAAGTTCAATCCAGATCTATCATTGTTTGAGTCCACAATGCTTTCTGGATGTAGGTGAACTACAACTCCAAAACTCAAGGTCAATGCCCACCAGACCCTTCCAGTATTTTTTGTTGGTCACGTATGCCAAGTTTGGTTCAACTCCATCGTTCATGGAGTTTAGAATTCGCTTTGATTGTATGTGAACTATAAATCCCTGCAACTACAACTCCCAAATGACAAAATCAATCTCCCCTCAACCCCATTTGTGCGTATCGTGTATTTGTGCCAAATTTGGTCCAGTGAATGAAAATGCATCCTGTTATATCAGATATTTACATTACGATTCATAGCAATAGAAAAATTACAGTGATGAAGGACCAACGAAAATAATTTTATGGTTGGGGGGTCAGCACAACATGAGGAACTGTATTAAGGGGTCACGGCATTAGGAAGGTTGAAAGGGGAATTGTAGTCCCCTTCCAAAGGAGCATTGGGTTGTGATGATTCCATTTTTGATTCTGTCCTTTGAAACTTTAGGATCTGCAGTTTAGGGAGTGGCATTTAGAATCCTTAGCCCAAAGAGTCCTCAGCGAACTACAGATCCCAGTCTTCCGTAGGACAGAACCATAACTTTCAATGCAGGTCAATGAGCCCCTGGACACAAATCCCCAATCATCCAGTAAGCGAATTGGATGACCTTCAGTCAGGGGCGGCTCAACCCATTACGCAAAGTAAGCATTTGCAGTATAGTTGATTTTGCCCAGGGGCGCTCTTGAGGCGCTCTTGGGGGAAAATAGACCTTGACATATGTGAGTGTAGTTACTGGGATGTATAGTTCACCTACAATCAAAGAGCATTCTGAACTCCACCAATGATGGAATTGAACCAAATAGGGCACACAGAACTCCCACGGAACAGAAAATATATATCAGTGATTGGTGGGGGGGCAAAATACCTGTTTGCTTACCATTGAACTAGGGCGGCCGCTGCCCTTCAGCCTAATGAATAATCGTTCGGTTAAAAGGCAT